CCTCTGGTTAAAATAAATCAGTTTTTAGGCTAATACTACCTGATTTAATTTTTTTTTTTTTTTTGTATTTTCTGTTTATGAAGGGGAAAGCCCTAGGGTTAACTAAAATATGAGAAGTCCATTCACTTGTCTCTTTGAGCAAATAAAATCACTCACCCCAACTACTGACATTCAGTTTGTTTTCTTCTGTCCTAACAGAATGTGCTAAACTATCAGGGCTTTGTTAATGCCAAATTTAACTTGTTACTTCGAGAATGTTAATAAAATACGGATTTGGGAGGCATCACACTCCTGGAACTTGAAACACTACATACAGCTCTTTTGGTGAGGAGGGGAGAAAACAAATAGTGAGGAGTATGGATTTCCTATGTTCCTCATTTATTTATATATAGAAACACCTGCATTCAATTCTGGGATCTTCGCTAGCAATACACTGTTACATTTGATAAAAAGATAACAAAGAAAATGTTCATACACACTCTCCTTTTCAATTGCTACAATTTGTACTAGTCCCCAAAGAGAAGATTATGCATTCTATATAATAAAGTGAGGTCTGAGCGTCAACTCTTAAGTGTTGCCAGAAAAGGAGTCATGTTTCAAAATCTTCTCATAGCTTGAAACCTCAACGTTTTTCTGCCAGAGATAAAATTATGTTGCACCTCACTCTACTTTCAATATTTAGACTGAATTCAGGACCGTTTTCATCATACATATGTGCAGTTATCGTATTTGACATATTTATCCCCTTTTCTCTATATTTACAGGGAGTAGATATTAATATTTATACTCACTCTAATCTAAAGCCGGTTTGGAATTATTTTTTTACCATAAAAGGTAAATTTTGAAAATGATGTCAAATACCTTTGCAAAAACACAGACAATTTGCTTCTGAAGTAATTTTATAAGCAGAGCGAACATTTATTGGGCACTTACTAAGTGTTGGTCACTGTTTACAGTGTTTCCATGGATCATCTCACTTAAGCCTCATAATAACTTCATGATAGTAATAATATTATCATGCAATTTTTACAAATAAGGAAATTTAGGCATAGAGAGATTAAATAACTTTCTCATAAAACCATTAAGGAACGGTAGCACTAGGATTTAAACCCAGGAAATCTGGCTTACAGAGCTAAGAACTAGGCATCCCGCACCTTGCTGTCCGACAGCGAGGCATTTTTGCACTTCCTAAAGAACAAGTGACAAAATACACAAAGTATCTCTTACCCTGCCTGGAACATGCTATGATATTCAATAAATATTAGCTCCCTTATTAAAAAGTATAAAAGCATCCAGTAGAGTGCCTGGCATGTATAAAAGGTATTCCCTATTCTCATACTCGTTCAATGTTTTCTGGTTATTTATATATATTTATTTTTCTTCTCATTCTTCCATCAGTTATTACTTTATCATTCCGTAGGTATGAGAATAGAATCCCAAGTTTCTCCCACTCTTTCTGCTTCAAAATAATTCTTCAAAAGAAATCCTATTTCATCCTATGAATAAGATCTAATGTTTTGAATAGTTACAGAAGGTAAGTGGCCAGAAGTAACCAGGTTGAAACAGATCACTGGACATTCCTCCTGCTCTGTAAACACACGATGCCCTGTTAGTGACAGCACACTTTACATCCAAGAATGTTTACAAGCACTTCAGTCTGGGAAGCCACTTAAAGAAACAGGTGGGTGATGTCATCCAGAGAGCACATGGACCATTGCTCCCCATTTGGTATACTAAGTTTCACCTGTAGTCACAAATGCCCCTTCTACCACAATTGAAGACCCAATAGTTCTAGAATGCAGCTTAGGTTGATAATGAATTTGTTCCAGGTTATTTTTTTTTTTAAAGGGGGGGGAGAATAAAAATCCTTTGTGGTGTTTTATGGAAGAAAAACATACCAGCAAATGGAAATTCATAAAGGAAGTTCAGAGCCAAAGACCAAAGCAAACAAAACAAAACAAAAACTCTGGTTTTCTAACTGGGGCTTCGGTAGGAAGTTTGCTGAGCTAAGTCAATTAGAATAGGGTGGATATGGGAGGTCTAGAATCTAGGAAGCCCGGGATATCACAGGGCCTCTGGTACTACATGGATCCGTGTTACAAAGCCCAGGATTTGCTGAGGTTGCTTATTTTGAGCAAAGAAGAGGAACCAATGAACCCAAGGACTTGGGACCTATCAGAGCCATTATTATGGAGTAGATAATTCTGTTGAGCATCTGTAGCCCCAATAGTGTGCAATTCAATATTCACTTAATTGTATAAAAATGTGGATGCCGTGAAACATAGCCATGTATGTATCACATATCAGTCACACATGTCATATGAAAGTTAAAGAAGCCTTTTTCCCCTGAAAATTTCCCTCCAACAGATGTGTTTATGCCTCTGCATATAATAGAGCACACAGCAGGGCCGAGAGGCTGTTATCTCAGCATTATATCTCCCCCGACTGTCGTGAAGTAATGTTGTAACGTCCAAAGAGAGGCTGGCTGGTTGCAAGTGCATCAGCCAGCACATGCAGTTTCAGTGGCTGCTTTACGCAAGGGGTGAAACGTGGGAGCGCAGGGCACGACCACAGGAGCTCTTGAACAGATGGGGGAGCTCCTGGGTCCTCATCGGGGCTGGTATGTCAAGTGGCAACACTACAGTCATGGTACCAGCAGTCATTCTTTGGAGGACGCCTGAGAACTTGAGTGCAAAGACAGTTGAAAAAAGGGTGTGAGTTTTTCCCACAAGCCATCATGGCTATCAGTTACTTATTCCCCTCAGATAAGGACAAGTACACTGGCCCTCACCATTATAAGGAAAATGACAAGGAGAGAAACACTGATTTCAAAGCAATACTATTGGTGCTTTTACACAGGGCTGGTTTCGAGTTGACCATTCTTTTCAAATCAAATGAAGAATCAATATTCTTAAGTGGTTTATATGATTTATAGAACTTTTTACCTCCTCCAAGGTGCCCTGGAAGAGGTAAAAGGTTCCTCCCCAAAGATGAGGACTACCTGACGGAAAAGGGAGATAAATATACTAAAAACAAACCTAGAGCCAAGTTCACCTCAGTTTTCCAGGAAGATCGTAAAGAGAACGTCACTTAAAGATGCCAATCTATCTGGTTTAGAGGAAATCACAACTGTGGACTAGAACGCAGAATGAGAGTCACTGAGGAAGCTCTTGAACTCAGTGTCAAAGGAGAACATTAGGTTGTCAACCTCGTAGATAAGATCTGCAGGACACAGAAATGCCTGCTTGCTCTTAAATCTACCTGCTTATCTGAAATGTCTATGCTAAGGCCCTGCTGCTATAAACCCTTGACAAAACGCAAACCTGTTACCTAAAAAGGATGCCACTTCAAACCAATGCCCCTCCTTAATTCATCAGACCACCTACAGAGGACCACAGAAACTTCTGAAGGCAGAGTTCATGGGCAGGACAGGGGAACACCTAAAGGTCCCTACAAATAACTCTACAACTTTACAGTTTGGGTTCCGTCCAAGGTCTCTTTAATTTACCACGATGACTTTTGAAAGGACAGCAGATAAAGTCACTTACAGAGGTTGCTAATTCGGCTCCCCATTTCATACCTTGTCTCCAAACACAGGGTAAAAGTAAAGACAATCTCAATATGCCCTCCTGAAGTAAATAAGGTGAATCTGATCAGCAGTATCTTATTATACAAGCATGCACAGGAATGGTCAGTGGCCAAACAATTACTCTTTGTTCAATTTCTGTTTTGCTCAAAACCTGTGGAAGGTCCCTGCCAGTAAGTCAGGTTCTGAAATGCTATCAGTGATGCCAATAAGAGGACTAAGCAAATCTTGTTTTCTTCCTACAAGGAACAGACAAATTTTTCTGCTTATCTTCTCAGCCACAGTATTACCAAGTGCTAGAGCCAGTGAATTAAATTTTCAGAAGTGCTTTATAAAATGTGTTGGGGGATGCTTTAAGTGACTTAAGGGATCTGGATCGATTAACAATTGGGAATTGCAGAGACAGGGGGGGAAAAAAGCCCTTACACGTCACCCTCTCCTCTCCTTTTTTAAGCATCTTCTTCACTCACTCATAAGCAAGTATTTATTCGGGATGCTTGCTCTATTCAAGACAATATCTAAAGGATCAGCTCTTCTTAGGGAAATCTAAGGTGAAACTGTCAGTCACATCCGTGTTCTGATTTTAAATACAAGATTTGTCTCTAGAAAGCCTCCACTGCCATTTCATTCTGTTATATAACCAGTAAGCAACTGGGTTCAAAATTTTAGATGAACTTTGCTTTTCGGAACCTCTTGGGAACATAAATTAACCACATTTATCAAGGAGGTCCTGAAAAACAGAACTGCTAAATTTAAAGTTTGAGAACTCATTTGGAGCCGACCCGGTTCCTGGCACTGGGCTAGATTTTATCTGCTTCGCTGACCTCTAGGAATCCCGCTCAACTGATCCGAGGTCCAATATCTCAGGGCTGAATTAGGGTGAACGTACGCACACACCGCGACCCTGCACACCGCTCGCCCCAAGCCCCGCCGCGCACCCGCTCCCGGGGCCTCTCTCGACCACCCGGCTCTTGCAAACGGGGCACGCCAAGTGGAGACCCGTTCCCGCTTTTCTCGCTAGAGGGCAGACGGGGCCCGTGCAAAGCCCTCCTGGCGCCGAAGGAACGCGCACCCAACCTCGGCTCCCGCACTCCGGACCGGCTCCCGGGCTGGGCTCAGCGGCGGGGTTCTAGGCAAAGGCCAAGCCAGGGAGCGCCACGCGACCTGGACGCTCGGAGGGCGTGGGGCGTGGGGCGCGCCTGCCGCCCCCAACCCTACGCGCGGGGTGCGGGCACCCGGGTGGGGCTGGGCGCCCAGGTGAGGTGCGGCCCCACCGAGGGCGAGAATCTCCCGGCTCGCGGACGCCCGGGAGCAGCGCCAGGCGCCACGAGCGTAGGGCGCGGGCGGACGAGGGAGAGGCGACCGCAGAGGAGGAGGAGGAGGATCGTGGAGCCGGGCCGCGCTGCGCACTCACCTGGGCTCGGGCCGCCCGCCGGGAGCGCGGGCTTCTTGCCGGAGCCTCGGTCCTTCTTGCCCTTCCCCTTGCCTCTGCCTTCTTTGCGCTCGGACATCTCGCCCGAGAAATGCACGCTCTACGCGGACCGCTCCTGGCGAAGGCGACGCGCCACAAGTTTGGTCCGAGGGCTTGGATCGGGTTGGGGAAAAGTTTGTCCCTCGAGGGGGAGAGCGCGCGGCCGAGCTGCGGCACTGGCGCGGCGCGGGGGCGTCTCCTGTCGCCTGTGGGGAGCGGCGCGGACGCGGCGTGCGGTCCGGGCCACCTGGGGCTGGCGGTCGCTCCTGCAGCCGGTCGCCCTCGCTCTCGGGGCCGCTCCTGTCGCCCAGGGAAGTCCTCGGTCCCCGGCGCGCTGGGTCCCGCCGCTGTCGGCTCCGGTGGCGGCGCTCGCAGCCCGAGGAGGGAGAGACGTTCACCGTCCTGCCGGCGCTCCCATCGCCCAGGCAGCCGCCGCCGCTCAGCTCCTGCCCTCCGCGCGAGCCCGGAGTTCCGACAAGTTTTGGGGAACTCCTCGCCGGCTCTTTTTCAATTGCCCCACAGCCACCCACCCCCCGCCCGCAGGTTGGAGACTGGCGCCTCCTTCTCCCCCTCCCCTTGCCTCGCCCCCTCCCCCTTCCCCACCACACCCCCACCCCGAGGCGCGGACACGCCACCGGGAGGAGCCTGGGCTCGGCGCTCCCGGGCGCAGCCCCTTTCCCTCCCCGAGCCTGGCCGGGCGGGGGGCGGCGGCGCGCGGAGCGGCTGCCGGGAACCCCCGACAGGGGTCGCTGGAAGCTGCGCGGAGACGCCGCCGCCGGCAGCACCGCCGCTGCGGTCCCGGGAAGCGAACCGAGCGGCCCCGGGAGATTCAAAGACCGGGGAAGGGACCCAGGGACTCCTCGCTCTCCTCCGCCGCCAGGGAGCCCCGAAGGGCTCCGCCGTCCCCTACAATGCGGAGAGACGTTGGAGAAAAACGTTTGGCATTCTGACACCTGCCCCCCCCCCGCCCCCTCCATTAAGGCTCTGGAACCCTCGGGAAGGAGAGGAACTTTCGCACTTTTCCCAGGAGTTTGGGGTTCATTCCTTTCTTACTTTAGTGGAAGTCCCGCACGCGCGTAGGGCAAAGACAAACTGTGTGCAAGGAATTTGAGTGTAAGACTGTCCCGGGTACACAGGAAGGGCTCAGAGAACCTTAAAGATGGTCAGATCGCACGTCTTCCCAGCTTTGCTCCTTGAATGTGTGTGTATCCTGCCTTCGTGTGTTGAACAACGTGCCTGTCATAATTCTCATCGTTAGTTTTTATTTTAAGATTTTATTTATTTATTTGACAGCGAGAGCAAGAACACAAGCAGGGGGAGCGGGAGAGGGAGAAGCAGGCTTCCCGCCCCATGTGGGGCTCGATCCCAGTAACCTGGGATCATGACCTGAGCCCAAAGCAGACGCTTAACGACTGAGCCACCCAGGCACCCCTCATCGTTAGCTTTTTAAAAAATAAATAGCTATAATCTAACCTCTTCAGAGAGGGTGTCCTAAACTCTCTCTCTCACTACAACTTGATTTTCAAAGGAACTAATAAAACCCGGGTTAAAAGGCGATCAACAATAAAATTACTGCAATAGCTGGGGGGATGGGGGGTGGTCAGTCAGTTCCTACCGAGTGAGAAAGCAAGCAGGGAGAGGTAGAGTTGGGCTAGAGCTCTTTAATTCATTAACGCCAGCTTTGTCGGATTCAAACTTTCCTCGGAACTGCGGGTGAAACCTACTTCTCCTTCCCTTGTCCTCCCTCTGGTGGAGAATTCTAAAGAGCAGTGAATGGAGAAAACGTTGGCACCCTGCTGCAAAGGACAAAAGTTAGAGGCCAGAGTAATCCACACACGGAATGATCCAGAATCATGTAAAGAACACATCCTCCTAGTTATATCACAGCTGTGGCTAACTTAGAATGTTAATTTACAGTGATAGACTCCGGTTGTGGTCAGGAAGAGCTGAACACGAACAACCATATATGAAATTTACTTCTCGTTACAAGTGACTTGTTCCTGATTTTCCTTTCTCCGGAGCTCATGCTAACCGAAGCATTACATGCTTACAGACTTCTCGATATATATTGTAATTGCCACCATTTAAATAAAGATGAAATCTGGGGTGCCTCCTTGCTATATATGTGGGAAAGGAGGGGGGCAAAAACATTCATTTTAAAACAGCCCTCAAATAATAATTTTATTCTTGTGTAATCTTCAGGGTAATAACTGCTGAGAGATATTTTAGCAGTAATGCCATCATAATTTATTTTGAAAAAGTTTGATGTCCAAGTATCTTCTGATGACCCTTCAACAAACACCAAATATAAATTTTGCTAGGCTATAAAAACAGCGAAATCAGGGGAAAGATTATGAATAAACCTGAATAGCACTGTAATATTCCACAGAGTCTAATGTAAAATGAAATCTGAATGTTGGCTGAAATAGCTCTGTTTTCCCAGGAGGGGCCACTGCTCAACAAGCAGGAAACAGCAAAATTCAGAAAAAGGGAACCCTTTCAAAAAAAGGTACTTTTTCTCCAAGATATAAGACCCTTTACAGGCTTTACAATAGATAAATGTTATCAAATGTATCATTATTTTAGAATTGAAGAATATAAAACAAAAATGTATTTTGGAATAAAAAGTTTCAGGTCTTTCCAAATTAAACAGGAAGGCAGTAGTAAAAACCCATACCTATGGAATTATTATCAGTCAGCTTTGTTTTGGGTCTAGATGATTTACTTTTCAAAACAGCTTACTAATTCCTTATTACAGTAATTTTGCCATGAGGATAAGGGAAGAGCCTACAACTTTGTGATAGTTTCCATTTGAAGGAATCTATAGTACTAGTGGACAGTTTTTCCAAACTAAGGATGAAGGACTAAAGATTGTTGATATTGCAGTTTTATAATAAAACATGGTGGCCACTAAGCAGTAGCAGGATTCCTATGGAAATACTCAGGCCTGGGGAATGAGGGGATATAAAGGGAGGAAGCTGGGTATAAGTGAGCAGGCAATAATTGTTCTTTTTTGGTTTGATACGCTAGAGAGAAAAAAAAAGGACAAAAATTGCAATGATAAATGTTGAAAGAACATTTAAGAAAGATGATGAAGGGGCAGTTGGATGACAGGGCTTCCTGGGACTACGTTCGGATTCTGGAGTCATATTTAGTTGTCAGTTGCAGCTGAATTGTCAGAAAATTTATGACAGAGTCCAAAACTTTTTTTCTACTAATACATTGTTTAAATGTGTCTTTATCCTTTATGTTACTTTAATGTTAATTTTTTGAGGGTTATTTTATTCCATTATTTATGATTAGGTAAAATATTAACCAAATAAAAGTCCATTTCTTTGATAATTAAAATATTTATGAGATTTTTCAAGAGCTTGAGATTGTCCTTAAATTATTCATCTCTATGGTCAGGAAGTGGCAAATGATTTTCTGTGGTGTTTTTTTTGTTGTTGTTTGGTTTGGTTTTTTTCCTTTTAAAAAAACCTTGGAAATGATCAGAAAAAGGGGATGGATAAAGGAAGAAGAATATTTTTGCTTCCTTGAAGACCAAAATATGAACCTGAATTGTATAATTTAGAAATGATGACATATCTTCATGGTATAATTTTCCTAATTTATTATGTATTGTTTAGCTCCTAGAGTATATATCATAGAGGGTTTAGCAGCTCTCAAGCAACATATGTCAATCTGTCAACATTTGTCAACTCCTGAAAAATAGAGTGGAGATTTATAAATAAGCAACTTGAGAAATAAAGACAACATGGAGATCTTATATTAAATGACAGCTTAAAATAAATGCAATCCTGTGCCATAACATTTTTCTTTGGCAAGGCTTACCTTTTAGAAGCACTCTTAGAATCTACAAAGCTAATCAAATATGCCCTTTATCTCAGTAATTCCCATTTGGAAAATACCCCAAGAAAATTCTTAAAAGAAAAAAATAAATAAAATGAAAGGACGTAACATGTGAAGATTGATTGCATTTTTTGCAAAATATGTGCATACTGACAGTAGTGGGAAATTAATTTAGAATTAAATAGGTACTTTTAACTTTTAAAAAATATAGTAACTTAATTACTTTTTTAAAAACTTTGCAACGAAGTTGGCATTAATGAAGATTCATGAATGCAAAAGAAAATCTCACTCATCAGAGTCAGCTCCAAAACAACCACTAAATGTCATGACTTACTCATTCGTCAAGCACCTACCGAACCAAATGCTAGATAGTAGAGAAATAGGAAAAAAAAAAAAAAAAAAGCTCCTATTCTCATGAAGTTAAAATACTGTGAGAAAGGCATGAAAACAAATTAATTATTATAATACAAATGAAAAGCAGGGCCAGATAAGTTTTCCATGGCCCAAGACTCATAAAATTTGGGGGCTATTTTTGAAGGGGAAAAAACCCCGTAATAGTAAAAATACAAATTTAAGTCCAAGACCATTAAAGGACCCTTGGATGTGAGAGATCTTGAAGAGTAAGTTTCATTAGCTTCATGGTAGCTTCACCTCTAGTGATTGCAAACATTCCACCCTCTGCACCATTATAGTAATGGTAAACAATTTCAGACTATCTTAGAGATTAGATACTACTATCCCTATGAATAGGAGGCATTAATAAGCAATCAAAAGGAATACACACAACACTGAAACAAGCAAAGACGATCATATGAGGAAAATGTGATGAAAGCAGCCTTAAGAATTCAAATTAGCAATTGTCCTGTCTGTTTGGTTAGATTATTAGAATCAATATGCAAGTTGAGTTTGTTAAAGAAAGGGCTCTGACCCACAAGATGCCCTGGCAAGACTGGAAAGCTGTCCTCCATTACCTTTGGCAAATATTTGACAGAATTGCTAACGAATCATATTCTGTCTGCTATGAAGAGAATCAGCTTGGTAACAAAATTGTGAATTTAGAATCCCCTCAAAAAATGAACAAAAAATGTAAAAACATAATGTTCAAACAACATTAAATAGAATCTACACTTACATTGTTATGCTTATTATGTGATTTTTTTAAAAAAATTGCTATCCACGGATGATTACTGTTGTTATTATTTATCATTATTATTAATAAGATTATTCTCATGTATGACTGTAGGGATATATCATATATTGAAAAGGGATTATATAGCTGAATACTAGTGCCTAATTTCTTTTTATGGACTCTATTTGATAAATAGGACCAGTGTCATAAATCTCTTCTACAGTAAGGTGGAGATAGAAGACTTGATAGTTTTCAGGGTGCCTGGGTGGCTCGGTTGGGTGTCTGCCTTCGTCTCAGGTCATGGTTCTGGGGTCCTGGGATCAAGCCCACGTCAGAGAAGCCTACTTCTCCCTCTCCTCCCCACTTGTGCTCTCCCTCTCCAATAAATAAATAAAATCTTAAAAAAAAAAAAGAAGAAGAAGAAGAAGAAGACCTGATAGTTTTTGAAACATTTTAATTTCTTTTAAGAACATAGTCTCAAGCAACTTTTTGGTTTCTCTTCCTTACCTCCACACTAATTATTTACCTTTATCTTCCTCAATCCCC